ACTTTAAGTCCATTTGAATCTATGTCAACAAACGGTGATTTGTCTTTAATATCCCACGCAGTCGGCAAAACAATCATCGTATGAAGTCAATAAATCTAAATCTCCCACTAGGTTAAAATTGAACTCAGATCTTTCGTTTAGATTTTGTACGTGAATGCAAGCATTTATTATTGAACAATCCATGCGCGTCAGCCAGACGCGCGAGTAATACAACATAGGTGACACATATGCTGGTGCGACATTTAGCAACGTTACACGAGACATAATCAAAATCTATAGCGATAGAGATTTTTTCCTAAAATCCACATCCCCTACCCTAACATTAGCATAACAAATAGAGATTATTTCCTTTTAGTATTAATCGTGCAAATAAGCAAAATCGTTACGATTATCAATTCTGATGGCCAAAATAAGATTCAACTAATCTTGCAATCAGAATTGTAGTCTTCGAATATAATTTCGAATATAATTTCGATTTATAAAAATCTACATTAATATAAATTGTATATTATTCGGCTGGAATTGAACAATTCTGTCCAAGATCACTAAAAACTTTACTAATAAGATCATTAAGTAAAAAGGACCCGGCTGATAATTTTACTATTGCTAACCCTAACCTGCATTCTGGCCATTCCAACCCGGAAATTTGCTGTAAAAAATCAATCAAATACCCTATTTCGTCAAATATTTAGACAATTTTGTGTCGAAATATATTTCGACATGACATTATTTTTTGTCGAAATGTCAAATTTATAAATTTGAAGAAATGACTAAATAGTTGATTAAATAAATACTATATGACTAAATGTCTAAATAAAATCTTTATTTCTAATATTCCAATGTTACAACATAAATTAGATAACTATGTAACGTGGAGTATGCATCGCGGCAGATTCTGTTCACACTCTAAATTAAATGTAACCCCAAAATTTAAATTACATTCTGTATATAAATACTCCGACATGGTTTTACCCTGAAATCCTGAAAGACAGATTCCCGAAAAAGACATAATACCGACAAAGTTTGCCAGCATTAGTTATAATACTGGCCAATTTGGTCAATATTATGTCCTTTCTGGAAAATTGCTTTCAGGATTTCAGGGTAGAACCCTCCGACATATAGTTGTTAGACGAAACCTCGGGGTTTCGCGCTGACGAAACGCGAAACCTAATTTCGTCTTTCGTCAATTAAAATTTTAAATGACGAAACTGATGAAAGGTGACGCACGTCCGTTTTCTGTGACATGTTACGTCGATCACCAAACTGAAAGAGCATTAAGTGCAGATAATTTGCTTTATATCCGATATTTAAGTATACTCATATTACTAAAATTTCGTGCTGAAAACTTTTATTTAGAAGTTAAACTACGGTTATCATGTAAATCTTGAGTTGTTTACGATTTTTCTGTTTTCTCATTGAAAATCGTAAATAACTCAAGATTTTACTATGATAGCCGTAGTTTGACTTCTAAATAAAAGTTTTCAGCACGAAATTTTAGTTATATGAATATCGAATATAAAAGCAAATTAAAATCTGCACATAATGCTTTTTCGATTCGGTGATCGACATAACCTGTCACAGAAAACGGACGTGCAAAGGTGACAAAATTGTAAAGGGTACAAAATACAGAATGCATAAAAATTTATTATATAATAGGCACTTGAATTGTTTAAAGAGAGTATTTTATATACTAGTACACTACATATCAGTTCTAGTGAGAAATCGCTTGGTGTTTACTTTGTGATCTTATAAATTTATTTTGTGCTAGTATGTTTTAATTCATTATTCCACGAGTACCATGGCTTTTTAACAAGGTTATTCGACTGGTTTATAGCAACCCTAACGTTGTCCAGAAAAAAAATCAACTGGTTTATTTTTACTAGCATACATGTAATCTCGGGCACTGATCTCTGAATAAATTATAAATGAAAATAACGATTGTTCTCTTTTTGTGTTTTTTTTTTTTTTTTTAGCGGGAGCATATGGTTTGGTTTTTTGAGCGTAAGGTTTCGTCATTTTAAGTTTAAGGTTTCGTCTAACAACTATTCCGACATATATTTTTATGATAATTAATCATATGCCAATACGTAATTTATTATAAGTACATGCCCTAAAATTTGGGGTGTGAACAGAATCGGCCGCGATGATAAATGATAGATATTCCGATGCATGAAATTCGGGACCTCCCTATAAAAAAATTCATAATTCTCAAAGGTAAGTAGGGCTAAAACGATGAATATTAAATGCTGACGTTCAATAACAGATAAGTATCGTACATTATAAATACTATATACAGCTTATAATTCGATGAATCAGGAAAGAAACTTTAACAATGGACCGTGGCAAAGTAAATGGCCGCCAATTACTATATGAGAGACGGGAAGAGTCATTGTCATCGCAGTGAGTGAATTCTATCCTTGAGGAATCCTCAGGGGTAGAATTCACTGCGATGATAATGAGTGAAATTATTTACAGGTTTCTCTTCCCGTCGCATGTCGTTTTAGCCCTGCTCTAGGGTTCTGGTAATTAACTATAAATCAGGAAAATCTTAACCTAAGTCGGGCCACCTTTGCCAGCGAAATTAGTTTATATCGTGAATATTTGTATAAATATTTCGGGCAAGACCGAATTCTTACCAAGTGTCCTAGACAAATAATTATGATAAAATATTAATGAGTTAAAATACATTGTATTTAAAATTACTAGGTAACTGTAGCAGTAATACCGAAAATATAAGATACCTGATACGTACGTACGTACGTACGTATTTGATGCTATAATCCTAATCACAATTAATAAGTTTAGTAATTCCATAATTCCACAGGCAGGTAACAAATCATCGCATTGTGGCTTTAAGGTAAATCAAGCCATGGCTTATACTTACCTTATCCATCCTAAATAACTGTTTGTATTCGGATTACTTTTCGGAAGCTCTAACGGATAATACGAACAAGCCATCTAGGGTTGCGACCCAAACCTACTAGTTTGGGATTTGGTAGAATCCAAATAGTATTTACTAGGTTTCTCAAAATGCCTCTAATTTGCCGTAGTGTCAAACATTCTGACATATAAATTATATTACGACTAGAAATCCCAAATTTTTTATATGTGAAATCGGGATTGGGACTCATCCCAAACAAAAGTCCAGCACCTTAATTAATAAGATCACGAAGTTTAAACATCAAACCACGATTTACCTATAAGTCATCTTGTTTTGCATACTCTTCATATAGCCAACAATTCGTACACTCCGTTTCTAATACACGTTACTCAGCAGGGATGGTAAATGACCTGAAATGACCCAAATGACCCAAATGACTAGTGACCGGTCATTGGGTCATTTCATATTCAAATGATCCATAGGAGGTCATTTAACATTGTTAACTGATAATATAATGCCTTTTAGCCAATCAAAATCGATTATTAGACAAAAAGTAGTTTTTATAATAATCGTAGAAGTCAAACCTTTACTACGTTAATTGATGTCTTAAGTAAAGTTGTTCTGAAGATTAATATAATAAAAAGTTATCCGAATTATATAAAAATTTCAAGATACAGTATATGCAATTTGTTCTTCTAAACAACTTTACTTAAGATGTAAATATCGATAAACTTAGTAAAGTTTTGACTTTTATGTACTATTATAGTTTAGTGAAATCATAGTATTTGATAACTTTATATTAGCTATCTGACCAATAAAATTACTTCATATGCAAATGACCCAAATGACCCAAATGACTAATGACCAAATGACCTGGGTCATTTAACTAAATGACTAGGTCATTTAAATTTTGAGCAAATGACCAGATCATTTACCATCCCTGCGTTTATCGATAATTTTTTTTTATTAGCAAAAAAATTTAAAGTGTGATACGTAATAGTTATACCGACAGTTTATATTGGAAAATTTTTTTTAAAAAATGGGGATATAGAAAGATTTTACTATGGTGTCGTTATATTCAGATGTTGGTATAACCAGAGTGACATGTATAATTTTAGCGTTACATTATAACGATAACAAGTTTCATTTTTTTATGCCTGTATGCAGATCTCAAATAGAACAAGTATAACTTGCACATATCACAAATTTAAAAAGCTATATTTAAAACAATGACTAGACGAGGAAATTACATATCATCATGATATTATGGAATTATATTTTATCACACATTTCGATTGCATTTTTTTATTACATCATTTAAACTAATGCATACATCGAATACTTCGATTTTATATAGAAATCTCAAGGTGGAATTATAAGAATGGATTGTCTAATCAGATGCGTTTAAATATAACGATATTCTTCGTTGCACTTCGTTCCTGATATTATCTGACAATCAATTTCTTCCTAAGGTTTAACGACGAATATGAATTCAGCTTGTTTATTACCTGGCAACACTCCAGCAAAATTTTTACGTGTTATTGGCTTAACTATATTTGATTAATCGATAATCAATCCATCCATGAATTGGATTCGATCTTCAGATTATCGTTATCAATCTTTGAACATTGTTTTGAATTTATATAAAAGCTTTTTTTTTTACAAGCGATTATTAAAATTCATATGGATATACCTAATTTGTTGAATAATTTAAAGATTATTCTAATGAATTGATAGTTTTGAGTTTGAGATTGACACTATTTACCGAAATTTGAGTTTTGGTTATGAACCCAAACTAGGTAGAAACCAAACCCAAAATAAGTAGAAACGCCGTAACTTCCAGAAGTACAGTATTCATATGACACTAGATGGAGGAATGCAAACCGGTTTAGGCGGTGCTAAAAAAAAGAGTTTGGGTAATGCATATACCCATGATCAAGATCTAGCCATAATAAGAAACGTATTAGTATGGCCCTCGATTTGATCTAGCAAACAAAAAAGATGTCACAAGAATTGATTTTACTACCACCATTTCCTGATGATATTGGAAAAGCGCGTTGTAGAGTATCAAATGCCGTTTTGGAAAGAAAAAAAATTAAAGCTGGCCAATGGGTTCGTCTTGATTCAGATAATATGGTAAGTCGATATAAATAAAAAAAAATAAAAAATAAAAATATTATTTTTTAAATTTTATAAAAACATTATCATTTTTTCAGTCATTATTTTGTCGTATATGGCCAGATAATTTGCCGGATAATATTATTCAAGCTGATAATTTAATAAGTCAAAATGTTTCTTCTCCTACTTCAATGTATAATCTTCCATGTAAGTTATCGTGACAAATTTCTTAATTTAAAAATATCAAACGCATGGACTTAGTTGTAATAAATAAATATTAGGTTCATTGGTTCCTCTAAAAACCCCTATACAAGCATCAATCGATGTGACATTATTCATAAAATTTAAGTATGCTGATGATGATAATAAAGAAAAAAAGCAATTTGATGATTTTGGATTCGTATGGGAAAATGGCCCCGAGACTGTTAAGCATTTGGTTAGTTTTAGCTAAAATTTTGATCAATGTAAATTATGTTTTTCAACAAATAGATTGACGTGTAATTATTTGCTTTTAGACAATTAGAAGTATCTTAAACGATATGGTAATATGTAAAGGATGCTCAATATTCGACGAAAGGCGCTGTTTGGAAATTGTGGTATTTAAATGATTTAAGCTTTGCCTTTATTTTATCGGATTATATATAATCCCTTACACGTCCAATTATTTTTCTTGTTTTTTATAAGATTCATGAAACAAATCCATCAAATTCAATTCAACTTTTTACCAGTGATACATGTATTCAAATTACTGATGGCTCATTTCAGAATGATATTGATGAAATCTCATCATTGTTGTATGATACTACGTTGGAAGAAAAAATTCCAAAATCTGTTCCAGGTCTTCATGACGCTTATGAAGCACTTTATGAAGTCATTAGTTATCCACTAATATATCGAGATTTAATTCAGCAATTAAATATTGAGTGCCCAAAAGGTTTTTATACCTTGACTTAAATGATACATATTGTCACAGCTGATGCTGAAATTTGGTGTCTCGATTTCGGAATATAAATCTTGTCAAAATCCATTTATACTCTTTTACTGGCATCTCTGACTCTAAATAGTAACCTAAATCTTATAAAATAAAAATTTAAGAATCGTATGTTAAAGTAAGTCCAAATTTCAGCATCAAGAATCAACCATGAAATATATTATTTAAACTATACTCTTTACATCAGGAATTTTGCTGTATGGTCCTCCTGGTGTTGGGAAAACATTTCTTGTTAATCAAATCTCCAAAGCTTGTGGAGCAAAAATGGTACACTTTCTATAAATTTGATTTATTCTACTTTTAGTTATCTTCCTAAGATATCGCTGTATTTCATAGATCACTATTCATGGACCTGATATTTTTGGGCCTTTTTTTGGTGAAAGCGAAAGGAGATTGCGTAATGCATTTTCCCAAGCAAAGGATTTGACTATTAAAGAAGATTGTCCAGTAATTCTATTTATTGATGAATTGGTATGTTTAAAAGTTAAATTAACTAATGATTCGTATTTTTTGTTAATACATAACTTGAACATTTTCTAGGATGCATTGGCGTCACGCAGAACTGAAACTCAATTCCATGAGTCACGTGTTATCGCACAACTTTTGACATTAATGGACGGTATGGAATCGCGGGGTAGGTTGGTCGTTATCGCGGCAACTAACCGACCTAATGCCATCGATCCGGCGTTAAGAAGACCTGGTAGGTATGAAATATGCGATTTTTTTCGATGTATTAGTTTGTAAACTATGTTTGCAATATAGTTGATTACAATTTTTATTAATTAAATTTTTGATAGGTTTGATCGTGAAATAGCTGTGGATGTTCCTTCGGAGCAATCACGTCTTGAAATCCTGAAATCACAAACGTTTAAAATGCCTCTAGGTGATGATATTGATCTGAGTACGTACATATTATACGCTGATTTTTTTTACATATTGATGCTTACGTTCAGAATGCTCTAGACCAATTGGCTTCCGTTACAAATGGATATGTGGGGGCTGATTTGGCTTCTCTATGCCGAGAAGCAGCGATGAACGCCGTTCATCGACAAGTTGCACTTGAGAAGAATGAACCTGTAAAGTATGATCAAGATTTTATTATCTTAAACTAAGTTGTGTGTTATTAATAAATTAATTGATATTGTAATTTATAGTTTAGTACCAAAGATAACGATGGATGACTTTGCAGGAGCAATGTTGCGTATCATACCATCCCTACGACGCGGATATCATGTTAATGTCGGAAAGATAAATTGGGATGACATTGGAGGTTTAGAAGATGTAAAAAAGGTTGATATTAAGTACTAAAGCATATCACGTCTTTATTTAGTTAATAACAGTATGAATTTAATAGAAATTAAGGCAGGCGGTCGAATGGCCCATAAAATATCGTCATACATTTGAAAGATTAGGTTTAAAACCGCCAAATGGAATACTATTGTATGGTCCACCTGGCTGCAGTAAAACGACTCTGGCTAAGGTAGGAAATTGATAATAATTCAAGTAATGATATATTTATTTTTATAATTTAGTATGTCATATATAATTTTAGGTAATAGCTTCAACGTCTGGTGCCACCTTTCTTTCTATCAATGGAGCTCAATTATATTCTCCTTATGTGGGCGACTCAGAGCAAATTAGTAAGTTGACAATTGAATTCCCGCGAATCAATAAAATGCATTGCTTAAATTTAATGTCATATATACAATAGTTCGAACAACATTTCAACGTGCACGTTCTACGTCCCCTTCTATAATATTTTTTGATGAAATTGATGCGATTGTTGGTAAAAGATCATTGGGAAGTAGTGGTAATAATGACAGCGTTCAGGAACGTGTTTTATCAATGTTATTGAATGAAATGGATGGTATTGAAGTTGCTGCATCAGTACTTGTCGTAGTAAGTTTATTTTATTGAAGTATATTTTTGTAATTAGTAATTAATACAAGGATATTTAACAATTTAAGGGTGCAACAAACAGACCAGATATGCTTGATGCAGCTCTTTTAAGACCTGGTAGATTCGATAAGTTAATATATGTACGTTTCATTTTAATTAAACGACTTTTAAAAAAATTTTGAATTGTTTAAATAATATATTGATATTATGATACTAGGTTCCACCGCCAGATCTTTCTGCACGAGAGCAAATTTTAAAGATTTATACTTCAAATATGCCTTTAAGTGATGATGTTGATTTAAATTTGATTGCCAAGCAGGTAAACTAGATTATAACGAACGACATTATCTAAAAAAAAATTTTTTTACAATATAAATTAAATATTATTTGACCTTAAAAAGACAGAATTATATACAGGTGCAGATTTAAAGAATTTGTGTAGAGAATCAGCGATTATATCATTACGTGAAACGGGAACAGCGTCGAGTGTGGTAAATAGTTAATTTTCATTTACTATTTAATTATTTAACAATTATGCTAATGCGTTATTTACCTATAAAAAGACTATGTCTAATTTTTATAGTGGCCTGAATACTGTAAAGTCATCACTAACGACAAAGATATTATTACAATATGAAAATTTAATTAACACTTATTAGACAACGCTTATACTATCATGTGTTTTTATATTGTAACAATATCTTGGTTTAATAATGGCTTCATTGTTATGTCATTTGGTTATCAGTTTAATACAATGTAGATTAAATAATATTTATCATTTCGATATAATTTTAATGATTAATTTTTAAACGAGAATTGTAATCATTTATAATATCGCACGACGATAAAGATAAAATTTCTGCTATAATGACTTTTTGATGCATCCGCATAAAAACGTTATGAACGTCCGCTCGCACGCGTGTTTAAATTTAGTGTAACAAAAACATGCACATTCACGCGTTTGAGCAATGGATATATAATGCTACGCAGTGATAAAAAAAAAGAAAACAATATAAAAACCACACTAAACCTTTATTATCCATTGTATAATCCCCATTAAATTTTCATTAAACATATTCACAGGCTTCTAAAACACCTTTGGTGAATACCGTATAAGCGCGAATAACGCCCATGGGTGTTATTTGAATAACAGCCCGAATTAAGCTTAATTTAGGCCAAAATTCAAAATTTACATTTCTGGGCGTTATTTCACGCTTATACGGTATGAAAGATATAAGGTATTGATTATTACAAAATATAATTATCATACGAAAAAACGCTATAATAATGTATGTCGTACCAAAGTTTAATTTTAAAATATATCGATATATAATTTTCATAGAGCTAGAACAAAAATACATGTAACTTGTTTCAAATGGTTCTTAAATTTATTAAACATGAAACGTCCAATTTTTTATGATTTAATATGTCGAATAGTCGCTCCGTAATTTAAGATAAAAAGCATCAATTATTTATTACATTACTTTATTACAAAAGTTCTTTTATATTTTAATATTTCTTTGAGAAATTCATATAATTTTTTGCCATTTTCAATACCAATTAAAATTTGCAACTCTCTTAAGTATAATTCGGTTAGTCCACGTAAAGTTTCAACTTTTGACATAACGTTATAGTTTTTCGATGTTATCCCGGGCAGCGCGCGAAGGATATCCTGATCATAAAAATTTCACATGAATATGTACTGTACATATAAAATTACAAAGCCAGACGGGCAAAAAAATGATTCACCTGTGGTGACAAGTTATAGTCTGGGAAATCCTCATTTTTTACCCAATAGACTGTGCAGTTTCATCACACAATTCCTTTGAATTATTAATTGAAAAACTATCCATTAATTTTTTGTCCAAGCAATCGGATCATACTGGTATAATTTACCTTTAAAGCTTCAAATATTTAGGCAGTTGCGTGAGGACTTGAAGACCAAGTTATTTTTGCACGAGGAAATGTCAAAGTAAGCGACACTAGTTTTGAAGAAATATCGTTTATGTTGATGCCAGACTTTAAATCATTTATTGCCTAATGTAAATTTAGCGATTGGAATAAAAATTAGTTTATACTATATTTTTTTTATAATAGTTATTAATAAATTTAAAAAGGCTTATTTGAAGTGTAAACGTTTGATTTTGCTCAAACTCAATTAATAACAGAGTTGTTTATAGTATATTGACATGGTTTCGCATTGTGTGTGTCTTTGATAAAAATTCGGAATATATTAGTTTATGTTACTCTTAACAAAATAATTGGCAATACTCACAGTCTACCTTCTAATTAAGTCAGAGATTGATTTTCTCTCTGGTGATACCATGTGCATGAAGAAGTGATGGTAAACTGCTACGAAATTCTCGAATGTCTACTACAATCTAAGCACATCAATTTAAAATTAAAGTAATTTCAAAGATAGGTGCAATATTTTCTAAGACTTGGCAAATTGCTTTTACCTTATCAGCAACTGGCTGAACAATTATACGAGTATTTGTTGTTCTCAAAAACATATTATCTGGATTACGCGAAACAATTCTTGGTTTGCTTAAAGGAATTGCTATTATCTTTGTTTAAACAGTAAAATCAATTATTATTATCACGTAAAGTACTATGCCTATAAAAGTTTATCAAAATGCCATTTAATGAAAAAATGAGACCCACAGATTTTTCATAAATCAATTTTTTAAAAGCCTCTTTTTTTTTCGTATGCTGCTTAAATATCGTTGTCTTCTACCGAAATTTGTAAATCATGAAATATACTTTGCATGATGTATTGCGCGGAATGTCTATATATTATATTGAACAATCGCGTCAATTTATAAGCTTTAAATAAAGACATGATTGATCTCTTACCTCTACGCACCTAACAAACACTTAATCTGGGTGATAGATAATTATATATTTAGGCTTTAGTGCCTCTAACATTCTATCATCTTCATAAATTGGTTAAAGATTGCAGAATTGCCAACTTCATATAATGATATTGCCTTACCGAATGCGGACTTAAAGTGAATTATACAGGTAAATGAATAATGAAACAGATTAACATCTTAAATTGTTGTGCGTAAATTGTTAAAGATCCTGATAAGAATAAAGCTATTATAATTCGAGCAAATCATCCAATTCCTTTAGAGTGTGTTTGAAATTAAAATTATAAACAAAGGAAGAAATAATAACGATAATAATAATAAATAAAATTTTAATTGAGTTTACGTAATTTTTAGATATTCACTGCCAGAGGTTTTTAAACCCAATTCTTCCTCAGGATTATACAAAGCGAAAGTCAAATAAGAAAGTATACAATTTAAGTAAAAACGTGTTGTGCGATCGGCCAAATTGAAGAAATGTACTGTACATTGGAGGCGCCTTTTGATTAAATTATAGTAATTGTACGGTTTTACTTTGAGGTAGGGTGTTTCATTTTTTATATAGTCACGATTTGTTTTAATCGAAAGCCTATTTTACGTCATACGTATAATAATTAGTTAATTGCAAATTCTGGTGAGCTTGAAAGCATTATAAATTAACGAAAGCATCTTTTATTACAAAGCAGAAGGCAATTTTTAATGTAAAATCGAAGCGTTAATTTTTTTTAAAATAAGTTTTAGTATGTTAGTCTAGCTTGACGCTAGGGTACAGACGGACAATTAATTGACTATCATCAGCGTAACTTGTCACAGATTCAGTACGTGCCTCTCTTGATACATTAAAAATATCTGAAAACGCACATGTGCGGGTATCATAGTTTGTAAAATTTGGGATAAGGTTAACATACCGGTACTTTATACTGTATCTAGATTGAAAGTGGATATACTAGCGTTAAAGGTCTGAAAGCATTAAAGGTATTAAATTTGGATAGAGAATTTACACCAGATCATGGTCGGGAAGAAATAAAACGAAATCTTAAAACGTTGAGATCTAAACTCAAGGTAAATATTAGAGTGTTTGAAATTTTTTTATTGAGAACTAATAAATAAGATTATATGCCTAGCATCCAACAACGCAAGCGGATATAAATCTTTATAGTTCGCTTAAACAAGCTTTAGCAAGTATAGACCTTTCGGATCTTACATAGCAAGATCCAGAAGCATGGTTCTAAGTTATAACTCAAAAGTTTGGAGCGTAGACAGAAAAGAATCTTTATAGAACCGCGGGAAAATATTAAATGTGTTCTCCCTGATTCGGTTGTGGCTAAGCGTGATAGGTTTGCAGAAAATTTCAATAATTCAAATATTTCAACGATTATGATGAATATTTTTCATGATAAAAAATGGAAAGAGAATGAAAATGAATTGGTGAAAATAACAGATCGTATTCTAGGCATGCTGTAATTAATATTATCTTCATTCGAAAAAATCAAAGAAATGGCAATTCTAATATACTTTTGTCAGTGATGAAATATGGAATAATCCCACATTTATGACTAGTACATCCCGCAGTGAGCAGAGTGAAGGGACATATGTTGCAGATGTTATAATTCCTTTGCTCCGAGCAAGTTTAAGCGACCTTCCGAATGGTAGTATCTGTTTGAACATCGCGGAACGTCAAAGTATTGCGAGCAAAGCTCGACGGAATCTAGAAATAAATGAAGAGCGAATGGGAAAGAAACCTAACATTATGGGTTGTTAAAGCAGGATGAAAAAATTATTGAGCTATTGTATACCGAATCATCTCGCATCATATGCAATAGTTTAAAAAAGATGGATAATGATGTCAAAGTTATGGAGAGAAACATTAGATGGGGTGAGTTATATCGGTGCAATGTGTAGACCAGCCGGTAATCAATTTGGAATTGTGGAAATCCAGATTTCTGGTACAAGTATGCATCTAAATATTCTTGTAAAGGATTTTGCTGGAATACCAAGGTATTTCCACCTAGACTATTCAGAAATCCCATTAACACCCCACAGATTGTATACTAGATCTCTAGTTCGCTTATTACTAACCTTAAGAAACATTATAATTGTAAACAAAAGCTTGTTAGTGCAGCACTGGAACAGGCTATTACACTTCCACCTAATCCAAGTCCTACTGTTTCATCACCGCGTAGAGATGAGCAGGGCAGGAAAGATCTAAAAATAATAGTAAACCTAAAAGATTAAAAAAGCAAAAAAGCACAGTTCTAGAATATAGCAATATAATGTTATTTTTTATATAATAAAGCTAGTTCTGGTGGCTTGATTTCGTATATACAATCAGTGTATTTTATCAGTATTTATTGATATTATTATTATTATTATTATTATTATTGGCAAAAATGATCTTTATTTTAATTTAAGTTCAAAAAAAATTAGTAAATCAAAAAATCCTAATTGTGGAAAAAAAGAAGCGTGAGTATTAAAAAAAAGTTACCTTTATATATCTCTCTATTATCAATAATTTAACGATTACTCTATTACTAAACAATTATTATTTAAACGTCGGACTTTGGCTTCTAGATTTGACGCTAGAGGTACAGACGGACAATTAATTGACTATCATTGAGGCAATTATATATATAACATGCTCATGCCAGGTAATACAGTAGAATATTTTATTCTATCTTTTTATCATTACAGATTAATAACAATATTATACTTAATATCCTTTAGGACAAGAATATAAGGAAAATGAATCGTGGGGGATGTGGTTACTATAGTGACGATGGATATTCATTTTGTTCTGGAAATAGCGAGCCGTATGGGCCCAAATATATTACAGGTAATATTGGAATATAAACTTCATAAGGAAAATAGTATTTTATACTAAAAACGGAGTAAACTTAGGTAATTAATACTAAAAATTAAGCTTTATATTTTACAAAGCAAAGTATGTAATACTTATAACATATTTTAAGTCATCTTCCTGATGATTTCAATGGCATTATATATTCATATGTTGGATTTAGATCGCAAGGCGGGTCTGTAAAAGTAAATTTCGGCCGTGAAACGTTCAAATATTCTGGTAAAATTTTTTAAGGGTCTAATCGTCTTAGCTTATTTAAAATTTTGCTTTTTATTTCAATTAATGGCGATGACCATCAAAAACAATAATAAAAAATCAAATAGTATATTAACAAGACTAAAAGATAAATTTAATGAAAAATCAATAATGTATTAATATTAAAACATCAAGAAAATGATCATTTTATTATGGACGGAAATGAAAATGTATTTGTTAATTTAACAGGTGAATTAACAAAATCATTAGAAAAGAACAAATATTTTCCTTATGGATGAATATGATAAAGCACTTGATACTTTAACTAAACCGATAGAAATTGAACCAGATAATATAATAGCACTAAGATATCGAGGAGAAATTTATTATATAATGAAAAATATAATGAATCAATTGCTGATTTAAAGAATTTATTAAAATTAACAAGTGGGCAAAAAAAACCCCATAATTTAATTGATGAGTTGTAAGTAAAATGTGCGGCTGACAAATATTAGCTAATTATACCCCCTCTGAGATTTTAATTTGATATCCCCAGGGTCAGGTATTTGACATATATGAATAATATATGTAACAAATTCGAATTAGTTGCATATATTATTTATATAAGTCTAATACCTGACCTTGGGTATCAAATAAAAATCTCAGAGGGAGGGGTATAATTAGCTAATATTTGTCAGTCTCCTAAATCACATACAAGTAAATACCCTAACGAACGTTAATCCAAATATCTTGTTTGTCAATACAGCGAGTAAGAATTTTTTTACATTACAGTAAAACTCAATACGTTAATAATAATTTATTCAACTCATGATAGATGGTATGTATTTGTTATTATTCAATCAATGTTAATATTTCGAAAGGAATTCCATAATTGGACAAGTGACAATCCCGACATTGTTGAATTTATTAAACAAACTCAACTTGGTGCAGGGAGATATAAAGATGTCATTGAATGGATATCTTTTAGTAAATTTACAAATATAAAGTATCTTGTTAAAGGAGGTTTTGGCACTATTTTTAAGGCAGTATGGGCTTATGGATTTGTTTACGGGTTTGATGGCTACATAAAAAAAGAATTTTTAGGTATATATTATATAACTTATTATTATTATTATTATTATTCAAGTTTTATTTATCTTAATTAATGATTAGATTAAAAATCAGCATAAACATGGAGGTCAGTCAACAATTGAAATTTATGGAATAACTAAAAACCCAAATGATGATAATTGTCCGGAGCGTAGCGAAGGACATTTAATGTTACGTTTTTGATGCAAAGTTAGCTACCTTTTTGATGCATCTGCATAAACATTATGAAGATCAGATCAAAAATGTAATTTGGAAATTTTCTGTCTGTCCGCACGCGTGTTCAGATTTGTAATTTAGTGTAACCAAAACATGCGTTTGCGTAATAAGATGATCATCATATGATACGCTCCGGATACATAATGCTACGCATTTTCCTAGTTATATGATGGTTGTGGAATTCGCAAAGCAGGGAAGTCTCCGAAAATTATTAGATAGCAAATATAATGATTTAGATTGGAATTTTAAATTTGCTATTTTATAT